CGTACAAATATATCATCCATGTCGATTACATCAATATAATGTTGTTGACAGAAAGAACATACTTCTTCCCAAAAGGAGTCCCACCCTTCATCTCTCATTATTTGTAGTCGTTATTTGCATAACTTCACCAATTGCATTGCATTCACAATATCTTGATATTTCTGTTGTAATGCTTTTGACAGTTCATTTGAAATCCCCAAGACACTCTGTAAATTAAATGCAAAATCAAACGTCTGTATTGACTTCAATAAATTTGTCGCGTCAGATCTTTGGTCACAAGAACAAGAGTCATCTTCAAAAATCATTGCAGGTACATCAATAACAGGACTGAACATGATAAGTAAGCTGACCGATGAATTATAATGTGAACCCCATCGCATATCACCAAAACGTTGAAGAGTTGTTTATTGATTAAGTCCTCGTCCACTTAAAATCTCACTCTTCTCCAATGCCTCAACAATAAAGTTTGATTGCTTCTCTCGAAGAAGATCACAATGTTTAGAAGATGCTCCAACAATATGTACCACATCACCGACTACACGAAAGAAGTTAGTAATAGGAATATTCTTCTTCGCAACAATTACAAGAGCTAGTTGGAGTTGATGAGTAAAACAGTGAATGTAAAAGGCACGTGTATTCTCCTTTAAAATGAGTGCTTTTAGACCATTAAATTTACCTTACATATTACTTGTCCCATCATAACCTTGCCCTCTCAATCTAGACATGCTCAAGTTATATCTAGAAAATACCTTATCAATTGCAGCCTTCAGTGATAGAGCAGTAGTACTTGTAACATGGTCAATCCCTATGAAGCATTCATTCACATGTCCACTATTATCTAAATAACGTATTACAATTAACATTTGCTCCTTCATTGACATATCACGAGATTCATCAATTAGAATAGAAAATAATGAATCGTCAATATCTTTGATAATAACATTGATTGTCTCAACGTCACAAGCATGTACTATATCCTTTTGAACATCAGGCGATGTCAATTTGCAATTTTGTGGAGCATTTCCAAATGTCACAGCATTAATATCTTCATTATGAGCAATTAAAAATTCTAATAGGACTAAAAAATTGCCTGGATTGAGAGAATCATTGGACTCATCATGTCCCCGAAATGAGTGCCCTTGTAGCAATAGAAGTCGAACACAATCAATAGATGCATTAAAACGGGTAACATATGCACTTCGTACTTGTTTTGACTCTTTGTATAAAACTGATTGAATGTGTTAGTCTTGATTCATCAAAGCTTCACACTATAGATTCATTAAGGCGAGTAACATATGCACTCTAACTTGTTCTGATTGCTTGTACAAAACTGTTTGAATGTGTTGGTTTTGATTCATCAAAACTTCGCGCTTAATGCGAGCTTGATTATGTGCACTATCATATTCTCCTACATGAATATGAAGCATTTTCTTCTCTTTCCAATATGTAAAACCTTCACCAACAAAACACTCACATCCACCTTGCTTTCCAAAAATTGATTTGAAAAGATAACAATACAAGCAATAATCAGCATATTTTTCTACGCTATACTCCAACCAAGAACAGAATTCTTTAAACCAAGAAGGATTGAATCGTATAGCTTTTACTCCAAATTGTCGTTTTGGAAAGTCATGATGTTGTGGCCAGCAAGGACCATTTAACATATATGCTCTTCGAACTTGATCTCGTATGTTAGCATTGTAATCCAAAATGGAATTCCTTAGACCAGGATCGAGAAGTTTAGTTACATCAAATTCTACATTATTCGACATCTCCAAGATCCCCACATCAACATTTACTTTGTCCAAGTCAATTTTTCTTTGGAAGAATCTCTTCATAAGATTTCAGTTTTCAACAATTCTCAAATTTAAACAATTTCATTTCAATGATACCCAAATTTCAACAATTTCAAATCAACAATTCCCAAATTTCAGCAATTCCCAAATTTCAGCAATTTCAATTTAATAATACCCAAATTTCAACAACTTGCCAACTTCTACTCAACAGACAACAATACCCAAATTTCAATTCAACAACACCCAAATTTCAACAATTTCAAGTTAACAATTCCCAAATTTCAGCAATTTCAATTCAATAATACCCAAATTCAGCAACTTGCCAACTTCTACTCAACAAACAACAATACCCAAATTTCAATTCATAAAAGACTAACCAGAGAAGGTGTACCGTGTACTAGCCACAAGGTGTTCTAATTCAGCCATTCAGGAGCCAAATCAATTTTCGCCTCTGTAAGGGTGAAAAACACAAAAAAGAAGCAATCGGCAAATGATTCGACCAAAACCAATCGAATCAAATTTCAACAGACAATATTGGGTATTGGGTAAAACTTTGTATCTTACGGGTGCGAAGTGAAATAGAGGGCCGGAGGCAGAGGCGGAGCAGGCGGGTGCGAAGTAAAATGGAGCAGATGGGTCAGGGTTCGAACCGAAATGGAGCAGTCTGCGATGGATTCTCATTTCCTCCTCGATGGAGCAGTCTACGAGCGAGAGACAATGTCTCGGAGGCTGTGGCTGTGCAAATGGAGAAGATGGGATGGGATTTGGGGGAGTGAAAAGGAGCAGCCAGGAGGGGAGGAGGAAAAATGGGCAACCACGAAGTTTTTGATACGGTTGGGCCTGGGACGCTGGGGCTATATTTGGTAGTGATTTTGGGCTTCCTTCTTGGGCTGGAACTTAACATATAACTAAAAAAAAAAAAAATTCGAGCCCAAAAGTTTAGGTCAACACTAGACCATACTGATCTCCGCCCCTGCTGTTGAGACTTAATAAATTAAAGAGAAAACTTTCCAATACAAATTAAACCCATGTTTGACCAGAATTAAAATCAGATTTTTAAGAGATTTTGATAAAAGTCTTTTTTTTTTTTTTAAAAGCAAAACATCCGCATAATCGAGTGAGTTTTCATGCTCCACCAAGAAGAGTTTTTGATAAAAATTGATGAAATGTGTGATCAAAATTTGTGCATAACTTCAACGAACATGGCAAATAAATACGAAAAAAGAAACAAAAAGGGATAATGTAAAGCTCAAGGCATGAAGAAGAATGATGCATCTCTTAATTCATATACTTTCTCCAATCCTTCCAGTATTGTTTTAATCTCTCTTTACATGTCTACCTTCTGTAGTATTGAAAGCTGATTCGCTATTAAATCGAATTCTTGAAGTTTAATTTCACAATATTCAATAGATAAATAGCACTTGCCTCTTTGTAATGTGCTTGTTCATAATTTTAAGCAGCAAATGGACTTGAATTCAAGAATTAAATGTACCCATTATTTGAATAAATACGTAACTGATGAAAAGTACGCATTATACCGTATAGATATAGATTTCGAGAGGGACCCATTTCTTCTCTTTGAAATTCCAAATTAAGTAATGATATTTAGTACCACTAGCGTTAAAACGATAATTTGAGTGGCACTAATGTGATATTAGATGAAAAGTATAGTTATATGAATCACTAATTTCTACTTTTCATTGAGCTTATTACTTAATGCCACACAAGTTGTTGTTGTAGTACCAGTAGTGCTAAATAACATTACTCTTCCAAATTATAAAAGTTCCTATTTCTATCGTCAAGATAAACTACGACATTACTGTTTCAAGTGTCCAATTCTCTTCAGCTATTGTCAAACTCACCACACTCTCAAACTTTGCATTGTACAAAGTTCTTGTATGATTTTTTGCACCCAAAAGTAGAACACGTACATACTCTCTGTCTTGAACATAATTCGAAAACGATAAGATTCATGAACGTAATTCGAAGACGATAAGATTCATACACCACTACCATTTCCCATTTGATTGTTGATTAAACAATCATAAAGTGAAGAATATGAGTAATTCTATGTCTTCAACAATACATTTGATAAAGTTACATAGGAATGTTATGTGAAGGATAAACTTCAATAATGGGGACATTTGCCCTTTGATTTAACAGTTTCCCAATCAGGGTTTCATCATCAACTTCTTAATATAATTCAAGACTTCTGCCACATTAACCGTCCATGCTACCGAAACAGGGGAAAAGTCCGACCACGGGTTGCTTGAATTCCATCTGCATCAAATCAAAGGGACATAATGAAAATGTTTTCTCATGAGTCGAAAATGAGTGAACAGATATATTAGTTATATCATACTTCTTTGATCCTGGATCCATTATTGTATGTCCTACACAAATCCCCTGTGTTTCAACCCTTACAACTCCTTTCTTGTACGAAAAGAGATCGGGCCGGACTAATAGCACAAAACTGACAGGGTCGTGGAGGAAAATTCCTGTTCAAAACGAATATTGAAGCACCTCTTCATCAATGGTATCAAGAGTTGAAAAAAAAAAAAAATCGAATGCAGAGGAGCCAGTCAGTGAATGAGGCACCATAAAGCTAATGTACGAGTCAAGTACAAGTACCATGGACGCCATCAGATTTTACATGCCAGTCCCGGTAAAATTTACATATATTGCATAAAAATTCTGCATGCCTTCCTTTCGATTGCCTTAGCTCGTCTAGGTCTGCATCTGAAAACAGCTATTTTTTGTGAGAGAATAATAGGTCATAAAACCAGACTAAAACGAATACTAATAAATATAGAAGGTACGAGCACCTGTCAGCATCACTTGCGTCGTAATATTTATTCCAACAACATCAATATTTGCCCCAGAAGTGAGCACAATATCAGCTGCTTCTGGATCCCCATAGATCTGCAGGTCAAATAAGCTTTGACTTATATAGTTACATAGCAATTCTGTAATAATATTTGCATAACACCAGATTGCAGCATTACAGATTTATTAACACAAGAATATTTCCCATGCGAAACAGAGTTTATGTAACTGGCTCCAAAATTATACAAACATTGTTATGAACATGCTTACAGACAACAAAAAGCGATGGTGGAAATAACTGGCACATTCGTAATAGACATTATTCAAAGCAGTTCAAATAAGGATCCGCATACAAAAATTAAAATGGTTTGAACAAAAATGTCATCAGGTAAGAGTTAGATGCCAAATAGGTTTATTGAACACTATTAATGAATAAAGAAAAACTAAAATTTTGTTCTTTGTACTGTCCAGTCCAAAACAAGCCGAATAAGTACTGCATCATGGAGAAAATCACAAAAGAATGCATGCCAATGCTACAAGAAAGGTTGTCTAAAACCATGTACGACATACATTTGCTTCAGCAGCAGGATTAACATTTCCCAATGCAAAGAATGCCCCACCAAGTACCACAACTCTTTTCACCTTTCTTGCAAAGGACGAGTCTCTCTTAACAGCCTAAATCAACAAAACAATAAGGATGTTAACAGGTGCAATCACAGTAAACCAAAAAGTGAAATTTGTTAAGAAGAAATCAAATAGAACGAATACAACTTACCAGAGCCAAATTTGTCAAAGGCCCCAATGCTAATATGGACACTTCACCAGGATACTCTGAAACTTTATCGACCAAAAATTCAGATGCAGTTTTCTCGAGTTTCTGGGATTTCGGAGGTGGTAATGAGATGTTCCCCAGTCCATCTGAGCCATGCACAAAGTCTGCAATATGTGGCTTTCCTCTCTGTTCCAAAATTTCAAATTTTAAATTATAGTCAGGCTACAATAAATAGCAAGATACAAACAATCATAGACTCAGATTCAGATTTATATATTGTAAAAGAGCTGAAACATTGACATTTCACCTCCAATCCACCCCCTTCTCCGCCAAAAAGAAAAGGGAAAAGAAAGAGAATATATGGAAACAACATATGAGATCTCGTAGCAATATGTGCTACATAGCAAAGTTTCTGTGACAATAAACCAAGCAATGTCTGGCCAAGGCCAGTTAACAACTTGGAAATTCTGAGAAATACTTAATAAAAATGTTGGACAATTATACAATGATCATGATAGGAAACAATGCAGCCAAAAGTTTCTGCTGTAATTGTCAATAGCGATAAACTCACTAAAAGCCGTCAAAACCTTTTAACCTCCTTCATATCCTGGTCAAGAAGACATGAACAACTGTGTACTGCATATACATACAAAGTATGTTATGTGTGTGGACACAGAATACATCAGTTACCAAGGAACATTTAAGCTAGCATCCATGAACTAGCACATAAAGAGGGACAAAAAAGAAGTGACAATAATCTCATACAAAAAAAGAACTAAATTAGGTGCTTAAGCTCAATTCATGCATAAATGTATATACCTTTAAAGCTTCAGCACTACCCTCTGCCACAGGAACATCTGGATATCCAGCAATCTCGCACTATCGTTTTGCACAATAGAAACAGTAATAGGTCATGACCATGTTTCAAAAACATGAAACTTCTGAAATTACAGAACAATTTACTGAGAGAAAAGAGAATCAAAGCGAAAACACATACAAGAAGCAAGGCATTGCGTGTAGCATCTTCTGTAGAAACATTACCAAATATTGTTGTCAATCCTAATATCTCTAAATGGTGTGACTGGAATGCCATTAATACTGCCATGCTATCATCTGCATAAAAAAGAAGCCTTTTACTACTTTAGACAACTAATTAGAACCATGTAAAATGCTAAAGAGAATATGCATAAATATTCAATGACGTAAATAACTTTCCTAAAATGCAAAATCCAGCTTGTCAGATGCAGTGAACTATACATTCCCTTTGAACCCAAAAACAATAAATATGAAATTATGCATGCCCTCTCTTAAATTCTTCGTAGTCCTCCATGAAGTGGGCCACACTACACATTCTCATCGCATGTATCTCGTAATTATAGCATTTAGGGTAAAGATTAGACAGCAAATGCTTTCTTTTCTTCTATTTCTACACGCCAGCATCCCTTAAGTCAAGTCTATTCACACACTTGATGATTCTTCGAAAAGACTTTGAAGGTGAGAAAGATAGTGCTTATATTCCTTAATACCTAATGAACCCAAGATATTGTATCCAAAACTTACGTCAGAAATATACCATACAAAAGTGCTTGCTCTGCTAAAGAAATTTAACCTCTACCTAGTATGGCATGGCATCAATATCTCTGTTAATTGAAGTCATAAGCCGGTCTGATGCCCAGTTCCTCGCGTATTTAATTAAACACGCGTAACCTTGACCTTCTTTTCTCCTTTTTAACTATTAAAAGCATAATCTAAGAAACAGAAGGAAAAAGATTAAGGAATGGAAAGGAAAGGTCCCCAAACGGGCCAAACCATCAATCTCCCCTACTGAATACGAACACTCAAAAAATTCACAGGATAAACTAATAACAAATACAGAAGAACTAAAGCCAAGAAAAGAATCCCATTCCGTGTACAAAATGTTCATAACCACACCAAAATTAACTTGTTCAAGTAACTATTAGTTCTTAAAAGCAGTTTAAACTTAACCCAAAAGCTAATACAACATTAAAATGAAGGCAAAAACAGTAACTAAATAGTGCCACGTTCATATCTACAAGCTGCAATAATTTACTTGAATTAGGTAATTGTACAAGCATTTATTATCCAAATAAAAACCTATTAAAATCAATTCAATTACCGAGTACAAGAATTAAGAACTAAAACCAAGATATTAACATACTTACCAATCCCAGGATCAGTATCAATAATAATTTTCTCACGTTTCAGGGCACAAGAATCACTGGAAACCACCAGCCCATCAATCGCATCACTTTTAAGAATCGACATCACCACTTTTCACACCGCAGAGAATCCACAAAGGAGAAAAAAAAAATTCAACGAGTCCCGGATATTGGAAATGAAATCATACAGTAAATGGGATTATCATAATATCGGATAAATTATACTTTAACACCTATTTTGCTTAAAGAAATAAAAAAAGGTAAGAGCGTATTGTCAGCTCCAACTTCCAAGTCTACAAGTAACGTTGGGAAAATCTTCTTGGCCCGGCTCCAATAGGGGGGCGCCACATGGGCGCAACTACGTTCCGTACCATGAGCCGCCAACTCAATATATACGCATCGATACATACATGAACACGTGTACATGTACTGTAGGTATAATAATCGTGTTTGGACCAATCTTTTGTGGAATGTGGGTTATGCCAACTGGCTTTTGAATATTCTAGTGAAGGAAAAATGTGTTTTCGTTCTTAATCCATAGTTAAGTCCTTGACCCTATTTAAAATAAAAAATATATTTTTTTTTGTACTTATTTTCAATCATACATCCTTAAAAAAAATATTATATGTAAACAAAAAATTTCTCTAGTTTAAGCCAAGTCTTTGAAGAACTTTAAGAATTAAGATCTGTTGTCAAATTTGTTGTCCACCCAATTGTAAATTGACACATCATGAAAAGTTAAAATTGATTACAACTTTAATTTTTTATGTTGTGTCAATTTTACAATTGGGTGAACAGCAAATTGAAAAGCATAAATGGACATTAGATCTCAACTCGATCTTCAAATACTATTCACCCGTTTTTACTCATTTCTATTAATGTTTAATTTTTAAACTATTTACTTTTCAAACATGCTTTGATATAAAAGTATCAAAATCATAGAGTATAACCATGTGACAAGACTATCAATACACCATAACTTGCACTTTAGCTCTTGTTTGTCTATCATTCTCTAAAAATATTTTTTTTTTTCATTTATTTTCAACAACACATTCTCACTAGGAATGGCAAAAAAATCAGATAAACCCGATACCCGTGGAGCCCCGCCCCCAACGGGACGGAGATAACCTGCTTAATCATGTAACGGGGAGGAGACTTTTGCCCCAGGGCGGGGACGGGCAATGGGGGCCCCGCCCGCCCCGTTAAATTTTTTTTTTTTAATTCAATATTTTAAATGAAAAATTTTACAAAATTTCATTAGTTCTAATAGAAAATAGCAACTAAAATTATTTGTCTAAATCTAATGAATATGGGCAATAAAAATAAATTATCAAAAACTAAAAAAAATTAAAATAAAATTTAAACGGGTAATAAACGGGGTAAGGACAATTCCCTGCCCACCCCGCCTTAAATGCGTAACGGGGCGGGGAATTTCTTAGCGGGGCGCGCCCCTCCCCTGCCCCGCCTCGTCCCGTTGCCGTCCCTAATTCTCACGATAAAATATTTTGCACGTGACTTAAAACCTGATGCGGATTGAATTCTTGATATAGTTTGTACATTTCATATGTGTTCAAATATGGATTGGTTTGAAACATATGAAACTGCTACAAGGGGTTTCGTGGTAATGAGAAATAATTCGTCTTATAAGATAACTGGTATTAGGGATGACAAAAAAATCTGATAAGCTCGATACTCGCGGGGTCACGCCCAAACAGGACAGTGATTATCCGCTTAATCGGGTATTCAGATCAGGGATGGAACGGGGGCGGGTAATGGGTACCTTGCCCCCACCCTTTTTTTTTTTTTGAATTCAATACTTTAAATGGAAAATATCACGAAATTTCATTAATTCTAATAAAAAATGACAATTAAGATTTTCTTAAAAATAGGACAAACAATAAAAGTATTAGTTTACCAAATATATTTGAATAATTTGACTTTCAAAACTAGACAAAAAATTAAAAAATATATTATTGTCTAACTTTAATTAATGGGAGCATTAAAATGAATTATCAAAAATTTATATTTTAAAAAAAAATGAGTAGTAAATGGGGGTAAGGACCCCGTCCCGACTTAAACGGGTAACAGGGCAGTACGAGGCAGGATATTATCTGGCTGGACGGGGGAAATTGCCGCGACCCCAACCCATCTCATTGTCATTCCTAGCTAGTATTAGTAAGGTCAGAATCAAGATGTTCGATGGGACAGTTAGGACAATTGGTGATATAAGACATGTTTCAAACTTGAAGCGAAATCTTATCTCCTTGAGTACTCTTGATTCAAAGGGATAAATGTATACCGGTGAAGGTGGAGTTCTGAAAGTTAGTAAGTGTGCTAGAATTGTAATAAAGGAACAGAGGAAGTTCCAGTTATATGTCTTGTACGGTTCTACAATCATGGTTAATGAAGCTGTCACAAAAGGAGATGTTAAAAGTCGAGAGATTTGATGAGACTGATATAGTTGCTTATGGTCTGATAAGTGTTGGCTTAGATGGAGATGGTAGTTATCGAGTTACTCGTGGAGATAATTCGAGCAAGTTTGGTGATTCAGGTAGAGTTGATAGTGAACGGGATGATTCAAACAGGTTTGGGATCCATAGTAGTTATGCTAGTAAACAAAGTTTGTATTTTGTTCACAGTTGTTGAGTATAATATTAACCCATACAACACCAAAGTTAATATTCATCCAAGAAAAAACTAATAATGAGAATTATCAAGCATCCCCCAAATCCTTCGAAGAACAAAGAAACCAAGAAAACCAAATCACCAGGAGCTACTTGGCAAATTATACTACCTGACCAACAGTTCTCATGGAATTAAAAAGTGGGTCCACAATGACAAGTATTTTAAATTGAAATGTCACCTTTTCACAGTTTCCAAGCACTAGTCATCGTGGCAAACATTGGATTAAGGCACTTTGAATTTAGTGCAATTGCACTGAATGTATACTTTTTTTTAGAATAATGTTATGTAGTCTCACTGAGTTTGCAACATCAATTTAGGTAGCGCTAGATTGCAATTGCACTACATGTATACTTTTTTTAGAATAACGTTATGTAGTCATTTAATTCTACTTATCATTTACTACAATATCAACGCCACCTAAAATGAGGTTACAATCTCAATGGAGCTAAATAACATTACCTTTAAAAAAAAAACTTCCATAACCCTACCCAATTTACCATACTAAACTGTTGTAATTTATAAAAGTTTTAACTTTCAAATTAAAGTTTAATATTAATTTTCAGTTTTGATTTTAATTTTAAGTTTACTGCAAAATTAAAACTAATAATTCCTAGTGTGTAACCTACATTTTTAAATGGTTTAATATTCATGATTATGGGACTGAATTTGTCCCTATAAAAGAAAGTGATTTTCATTGAAATATATAATAAGAAAAGATAACTTAATAGAATACTTTCTACATTTTTATATTGTATTTCTATACTTTTGATTACAAGATAGAGACTTGTTTTTTTATCTCCCTGTGATCGTGCCCCATTAAAGGAGAACCAATGTAAGCTATATGAGTTTTATTACATACGGATGCAAATATTCCGTTCACATTATCTTCAAATTTTGTTCATTATACTGTAAAATAGATAGTTTTTGCTAAAGAAATCGGGTTTCGGATTGCAAGGGTTGACTGCGACTCTTAGGGTTGCACAAAGCATAAGTTCAGATTTTCAATGTGCCCCTAATGCTTCCATATATGTTGACATCAGTTCAGCCCTTGAAGTTTTTCATGATAGTGGTTCTTGAAATTTTATTCCTCGTGGGGCGAATAAAGTAATCAGCATAGTCTTTACATTTGTTAGATTCAAAACTTTGAACAAGGAATAGAACTTTCTTTCAAACTGTGTCTTCATTTTTTTTTTTTTCTTTTTAATAGTTAGAAAATAGCACTTTCTTAATTGGGGACTGAACAATTAGGATGGCTTGGGGGAGAAAAAAACTCAGTTTTGGCGATAGGTTACTGGGAGAACTCATATTTTTGAGAATATGTTTTCAAGGAAACTATCTCAGAATGAGAGGTAAAAACGTTCACTTTTAGGTAGTAACTGTGAATCTTATAAAATGTATAATTAAAGTTAAAATTTGACTTTTAACATTTGAATTATAATGAGAGGCAAACATTGTAGGGATTTCTTATATTTCTTCTCCCGATCCAATTCCTTAGATACCTTATCTATTAGCTGGTCATTGACAAAATATAATAGTGGCCTGCTAACTCAATCGGTTCGAACCAATCCAAGCACATCATTGCGAATCTCGGGGCTGGTTGAGCCCATCATCATTCATATGCACCTAAAAGAAGAAATCATAATGCATAATCATAGTAACATTGAAGAACGACAACAATAAATTTTTGCCAATAAAAGAAGCCTTCCATGATTACACATTCTTCTGTCCCAAATCCTATTTTACTGCTAAGCTAAGGTAAGAAGAAGAAGAAGAAGCTCATTCTTAACAAATCCAAAGGCTTCCTAGTTCCTCGTCTAGTCCTCCCGCTCTTTCTGCACTTGCAAAGGTAGACAAAAAGCCTTCTTCAAGAAGGTGTTTTTTCACAAAACTAGAGTATGATAAACGAGCAAAAGGGCTATGTTATAGTTTATTCTTATCTTGAAACATAGACAAAAGAAAGGACAAGAATCCATTTTTGTTAAGAGTGCAGATTAAGAAATATAAATATTCTTCTACTTTTTTCCCACTATTAATTCTCGAAATATAGTTAACATTCATGTAATGTTAACTTGTTTCTTAATTCTTCGATATCATCTGATAGGTCCCTGTTTTTTGCAGTTTTAGTTCACAGAAATGGAGAAACTGAACTCAAAGTTGTATATGGAGAACTGCTATATAATGAAAGAGAATGAGAGGCTGAGGAAGAAGGCAGAGACTCTCAACCAAGAGAATCAGGCATTGCTCATTGAGCTCAAGCAGAGGCATTCAACAGCCAATCATGGGCCAAACTCCTCCTCAAACTCAAAATCTTCCAAATAAAGCAAGAAAAAAGAATTGACATCAGTGTCCACCCACCTAGGACTCCTCATTACTGCCTCACTGTAATTCTAGGAGGATTCAATGTTGTCAGTAGTATTAGTT